AAGAAACTAACCACTTGTACCCAATGATGCACATTCGATTCTCTGTTATTCCTAAGTCTTCGATCCTGGTTCGTCCCATCCTGAGGATGGCATCCTCTACTATCCAGATCCACCTACCTTCTCTTCTGGCGGCTGCTTATCTTCTGTACTGCCGATGCCGTACCTTGTTTACTTGATCCCGATTGGTCTCGGGTAATCATGTCTAGATCAGATATAGTCGCACTCGGATCAGGTCCCTATAATCAGGATATTTTGGCCAATCCGATGCCTCTGAATCAGTTCGATCTGAGTCTGGCCTGATTCCTCTGATCCAGATCAATTGCCTTTCCTTTGGTCCATATCCTTCCGCCATTTCATATTCTCCCTTCGCACTTTCTCGAATCCACTTCACCACAATCGCCGCCTGTCATTCAGTTGTTGCTTTATAATAGCAACACTGCTGACACTTCTCGTATCGTCCAGCTTCCCAGATCAACCATGTCCAACGCCGGCGACGCCCCAAGCCCCGACGGATCCTCCGGCAGCGTGTCGCCTGGTTCAGCCTTTGATCCAAACACGGCTCGAGCAGAGCTGCACCGCTACGCTACACGTCTGTTCCGTCGTAACGGCGAGCTGATCGCAGCCTTGGTCCTCCAAACGCTTCCGCCAGGCTCAGCTTCACCCTCGGTCGAGCACCGGGGTCGACTTGCAGACCTGACCGACTACATCCAGGAGCAAGATCAGGTGATAAGTTTCATGCAGGACTCCATCACTCAGCTCCGGGCAGACCGCGACGGGTTGCAAGCTTCCATCGATCTTGACGAGTGTCTTCCTACGGAGTCCGATCTTCAGACATCCAACGTACGCTTCCTCGAGGACCAGATCACGGATCTTGAATCTCAGGTGACCCATTTCCTTCGAGAACATGAGCAGGCCGGGGGGGAAGAGTTGGATCTTCAGATTCAGCGAGACGCCGCTGACTAGGATCGCGATGCGGCCGTAGATCAACTGTGTGTTACCGAATCGGTTCTCCGTCACTCTTGCGCGACTCTCGATCAAACCGAGGCGGATCTGGTGACCGCGCGCGCAATCACGTCCAGATCCATCCTCTCCTACACCAAGTACCACTGCTCTCCGCACCAAGTTGGAGCATCTAACTGCGGAGCACAAGTCCCTCGAGGATAGATTCCTCCAGATATCACGCGAACGTGACACGCTCAACGGCCAAGTCCAAGATCGTGACAGAGAGGCCGCCGATCTTCAGGACCGACAGACGACCGCTGAGGTCAAGCAAGAACCGACTCGTCATGAGTCAATTCGTGCAGATCTGGCCCGAGCCGAAAAGCGTCAGCACGAGCTGCATCAGAGGAGCAATGCGTTAGGTATGTCACGAGTTTCTGATGGATCTTGCCATGTCGCACTCGTTCTGGGTTGCTGCTACTTCCTTATTCACAGATCAAGATGTCAACGTCGCTCGTGTCGCCTACGCTGCCCGTAAACGTACGGTCACGGAGACCAAGTCCCGGACGCTCTCGTTGGGCCGTAGCCTCCAGACCGTGGATCGAGAGCGCGCCGCTCTCCGGCGGGAGCTCCGTCAGGCCCTGGAGATGTTATCAACTGTCGCTGCAGGCATGTGATCCGAGCCGCCCACCACGCAACTTTGCCTAGACACCGACAGCGAACATGAGGCTCCGGGTGGCAAGGATGTGTCCGAGGAGTCGGATTCTTCACTTAGTGGGAAGGGAGGATCTGATCCCCACTCCGCTGATGACGACAAGTCTGGATCGCCATCGGACGACTCTGAGTTTACGCCGCCTCCGACTGGATCTTCAGGGTCTCAAACAGGTGATGAGCCCGGGCGTAATTCTCCGCCTTCCCCGAAGCCTGGTGACTCCACCAAACGTTCTCGCAGTCCGCCATCATCTCCCGGTACAGATCGTCCGTCAAAACACCAGACTCTGGCCGCTCAAGACACCGGGGATCAAGCTCCGGACGTGAACTTCGACATGGGAGGGGATATCGAAGATGATCCGGGCAATGGTCCAGATCCCTCCGAGTCGACACCAGATCCCCGCGATCTTGCCCGCGAATTGGGTGGATCCGAAGTTTCCGACACTAGTAGCTCTCCAAGCTCCACGCCGAAGCCCCGCACTCTATTCTCCACCTCCGCATCTGCGGGTGCGAACAATAAACACCGCCGATCCCCACCACCTGCGGGTAGATCCGATCCAGGTGACGCCAATGACGACGGCACTTCTGTTGAAGATTCTATAGATCAAGCCAACGACGAAGTTCTGGACGACATGCTGCAGGCTCAGATGTTGATAGCACTCGCTTGATCCAGATCTGAGCAACGACGGCGAGGTCACGCTGGGCCTGCCCGTGTTGAGCCAGGTGGCCCCGGTGGTGATCCTGGATCCAGCAGTGATTCGGACGGTAGCGGATCTGGTGACGGAGGTGCTGGGGCTACGCCACCCGCGCCCCCAGCCAGGGGACTGATTCCGACAGATCCTGCCATGCCCCCACAGCATCCCTTCGCTGCGGATCAGGATTGCATTTCAGGTCGGGTGCAGCCTCGCACCTACACCGTTGCCGACATAGATCCGTGGTTGCCAGGCTGGATCGTCAACTGAGCGATGGCGACCATAACGATCGATCTGTTGTCACGTGCGTTGCCTTTCGATCCCAGCCGGATCTTCCCCGGTCGAGCCGCTCGAGCAGTTGCTCCATCTCCCGCTGATTATTGTGGTCACTTGATCACAGCTGTCAACGTTCAAGCACTCATGGCCGCCAGACCCTGGGAGATGCTCGGTTGTGCCAACACCCCCAGAGCAAATATCTTTCGAAATCGACATTGGCGGACGCCTGGGCTGTTCGCGGAGAGGTACTCGGCTATGGAGATCCAGGATCTCATAGCTTACTGGGGGTGTACCCATCGGTTTCCGATCCCTACCGCTTTGATCCGCACGGATCCGTACCTGGCCACCTTCAGCGTAGAGCGCAAGAACCGTAGAGCTCACGCAGGAGCCCGTTGGAAGGTGATCCTTTTCCTTTTCATCATCGCGATGCGGGAGGGGTGGTGTGATTTGGATCTACTGATAGATCCATTCTTCATGCACTTCCCGCAACGTGCCACCGACGTACTCTGGTACACTGGCATCGAAGCACGTCGGGACAACCTCGCAGATCCACAGCTGAACCACAGGGAGTTTGCCAACCTGATCGTAGTGTTTGACGAGAGCAACGAGGCTGATCCATGGCGTACTCACTACCGGCTCAATCACGCCGACCATCCGGCCCGCCGGATCGCACATCTAGCAGGTACGTTCTTTAACATAGCGCCTCAGACTGCGGTCGCGCCAGCCGCTAACCCATAGGGTTTGATCCGGACGCAGGCAGATTCACTCTAACCAGATCTCGGACTTCCAGGCGTAATACATATTCACCTTCTTTCCGAACCACACTTCGTTATCGTCTCTTGAAGTCCGCGTCGGTCCGTCATTGTTCATTTTGGATCTACGTTCGTGTATGTCTCCTTCGCCTAGATCACCCAACTCGAATCTCTCTTTTGCACTTTGTCATATACATTTTTACACAAGCCTTGCCCTTCGATCTGCAAACCCCTTGTAGATCCGCCCACCCCTCTACCACACCAATGACCAAATCACCAGTGTTGATCCAGATCTCATGGCTCTTCATGAGATTGCATTACACCAAACCTGTTACGATTGGTGCGATCTCGCAGAAACTCATAAAGCAGCGCCGTAGTTGAGATCTGCTTCATCCACTCAAGTAGGATCTTCATATCCCCGCCAGCGTACCAGAAATTCTCTATAGATCCGCCAATATCTCGTCCTTTTACCCGTCCTCATATCGGAAATTCGGTCCACTTCATATTCATTCGGATCGCGATCCTGGATCCGGTAGGAGAGCTTCGTAGAAATCAACTCGATCTACATCCGACCCCGCGAGGAGAGCCACAGGTCGATCTGGGAACATCCGGACGGGTTTGAACTTCGAGACATGTACCACCGGGAAGATGCTGTACGTCGATCCTGCAATCTCTAACTTCACTGCATATTCTCGGATCTTATTCGCCATGCGGAATGGCCCATGCCATAAGTGTGCCAACTTCTTTACATATCCTTCACGCACTCAGTCCAAGTACAACCAGACTCTTGATCCAGCTTCCACAGGATGTGGGCGTATCAGATCGTTATGTGTCTTGGCTCGGTCCGCAATCGCTTCGCGTAAACGTTGGTTGATCTGTTCTCGAGCCTGTTGGTAAAACTTTTGCATCCTATCCGCCACCTTCTCGGATCTCGATCATGCCTGCGAGTGCTTCCCACCGGAATCACCGCTTCCAGAGTGGATCTAGGATCCCAGCCATGTATCATGTAGAAAAGGGTTTCACCTCGGATCCGATCTCTTGCGGTGTTGATCGCAAAGGTGGGCCGTTCGGCGTATTCATCTCGATCACGTTGATCCAGATCCTGTACATACATCTTAAGAACCCTGGTGGTTGTCTGTACCATACGCTCCGCGGATCCATTAGCTTGGGGTCGATAAGCCATGGTGGCACGTTGGCGTTGCCCCAAGATCTTGTTGAAGTACTTGAAGAAATCGGACATGAAACCCGGCTCCTGATCATGCCGGACCACCTCACTCACGCCAAATCTACGGAAAACACATTCTTCGTAGGTCTCCGTGATCGTCTGTGCAGATCTTGAGGCGCTGACCTTGGCGATAACATATCCAGAGAATAGATCCGCGAAGATCAACAATTCTGTGTTGTCATTGAAAGATCTGGGCAGCGAAGGTATGTGATCCATGGCGATAATCTGGAGCGGGTATGTTGCCTGAAGGTTACCAGGCGACTCACCCGAGGTCGTCATTTGCCTGTTTCGCAGTCAACGCACTCCCCACATATCGCTGTACGCTCTTATACAGCTCTCTCCAGTGGAAGTGATCGCGGATCCGATCATAGGTTCGACCGATTCCTTCATGACCACCCTGCAGACTCGTGTGATAGTGATGCAAAATATCTTGCTGAAGCGTCTCAGGTCCCACTAATCGCATTAACTTGTCTCGATCCGCAACGGCCTCCTTAGTTGTTGGACAGTAGAAGAGTAGATCCGACTGATCTATTTCATAATACATGGCAATCGATCCAAACACCTTAGCGTCCTCATGTGTCAGATCTCGGATCTCTCCGACCTGGTACTTTTTCAGTCCTGAGATCCACGACTCCTCATCCTATGCTTGCCGGATCCGCTCGATCCGCAGTTCTCTCACCACATCTTCTCGTAACGAGTCTGGATCAGAACCAACTCAAACTCCAGATCTAGCCTTAGATCGGGTCGTTACCGCGGATATCTGGCCGGTCTCATCTTCGACCTCTACCACCCAGATCTCGTCCACCCGGCTCAAGGTCACTAGATCCTGGATCTCCTGCTCGGACTCGACCTCGATCCCGCATTGCCGTCGCAGCTCACCACCCAGATCTCGTCCAGCCGGTTCAAGGTGGATCTCCTGCTCGGACTCGACCTCGATCCCGCATTGCCGTCGCAGCGCGGCACTTGCTAAGTTGTCGGCACTCCCATTCCAATCTTGTTTAGCATGCAGCAATTCATGATCTGGCCAAGTTCGTAGTCGATCTAGAGCCCTCTGGCGTAGCAATGTCAAACCTGTTGCTTTACAATCAATCTCACCTCGTACTTGCCGGATCACCCGGTTCGAGTCTCCGCAGATCCCCAGACGTTGGGGATCCAGACCTTCCAGCAGACCCAAACACAGCAACAACCCATGATATTCTGCTTCGTTCACTGTCAGATCTTCAGCATTGCTCGATCTAGCCTTCAACACCCTCCATTCAGGCAATTTCCACAAGTTCGCGCTGTAGGCGCCTCCACCTCTCTTGACACGGGCGGATCCATCAAAGCTAACTCCGAATAGGTCCTCGTTGTCTCCAACAGTGGGGATCGGAACCTGGATCTTGTGTCGTGGCTCCTTTTTTGGGGCAATCAAGATCAACACCTTATCAACCTCTGATCTAGGCGTAATACTAGCCGTCAATGCTCCTAGGATCTCATCTTTACCCTTGCACATTTGGTGATCTCGAGAGTCCACGGCGACAATAGGGCGGCCCACTAACCTAAACGTCCCTGTAGGGTTGTGGATCTATAGAGCCACGCCAAAGTAGAGTGTCGCGTCAACACATTGATCGGACGACCGACCAAGGTATTATAGTTAATATCCAGGATCCTCAGCAAGGCCAGTACCTCCTTCTTCACAATGCCATAATTCAGCTCATTTGACTTTAAAGTACGGCTCGCAAACATCACAGGGTAGTAGACCTTGTCATATTCCTGCATCAGCGATCCTGAAATGGCCGGTCACTAGCATAGACCATGCCCGTAGCTCGCTTTTCTGGATCAAAATGTCGCAAGATCGCAGTGGTGGCGATCTTGAATTTAAGCACACTGAAAGACCGATAGCCATGGATCCAACGCGGATCGACTTCAGTGAGATCTTGCGCCCCCAGATCCATAGTTTTTTGTGGTCGATCGTTTGATCCTCGTGTACCCCTTGATCCACATTCTCTACCTCTAACACTCGTTTGATCTGTACTTGAACGGTGTCCTTCATCATCGCGGTGAAGTCGATCTCTCGTAATTCATACAGAACTGACGCATAGATCGCGTAGTCTTCGATAATTCGGCTGTAGTAGTTCAGACTTCCCAAAAATGACTGCATGACGCTAAGTGATCCTGGGAATGTCAGATCAGTCAACGCTGACAGATCTTTCGGATTCGCTTCCAGTCCATTGTGGGAGACCCGATGGCCGGGATATTCCACTTTAGGCATTCCCCAGAAACTTCTAATCACACTGACCGACAGATTCCACTTATCGCACGCTTCGAGTAAGCCCTCAACACGATCACATAGTTGATCCCAGTTATTGGCTGGGATCATGATGTCGTCGATGTATGATCTACGCCCAAGCACCGATGGCTTACCTGGATCCACCGGTTCCCTGTCCTCAAACACATCCAAAGTACTCCCATGATCTTCAGACTTCGGGATCCGGGTGAATCCATATAGCGCGTTGTCGATCATACGTTGATAGATCTGGGGCGCATTCTTCAAGCCGAAAGGCATTCGATTCCACTCAAATAGCCCAAAAGGAGAAATAAAGCCGAGATCAAACGAGCCCGATCTGTCATTTTCACTACTCAAAATCCACTCGCCATATCCAAAGAACAGTACCAGAGTGTCGACTCCAGATCGTCGAGTAAGTCATTGATCAAGGGAATTGGGTAGATCATCAGCTGAGTTAGACTCGATAATCGATGCAAAACATGATATCCACTCCATTTTTCTTGATGATCGCCATGATCGGGGAGGCCCATGGTGATCTGGAGTAATTGATCATATTGGTAGACAATAGACCCTTGATCAAGTCCGTCAACTTCTCCATGAACTGCATCCGCAACTTAAGACACTTCAGGGCGATAGGTTTCGCTCCTCCGACATCGATGTCGCACACAACGCCTCGGCGGTCGGCGGAAGGGCATTACCTTTGCCGATCAAGAGGTGCCGGAACTTCCAGATCCTATGGCGAAATCGATCAATTTCTTGTGGAGTCTGCTTATCAGATCCACATAGCTGAATGTCCTCGATCTTCACATCTTCCGTCTTCACTGGCACTCCAGGCAGTACCGCCATCTGACCGTCGACATCTTCCGAGTACAGATCACTTTCTTCATGGCAGTACACACATTCATCATAATCTTGATCTGAGCCCCAGGTGAGGTCCAGATCCGACGCGTCCTGTTGATCTTCAACAGCAGGTGGTGGATCCATGTCCGTTTTTGCGACATAGACGCGACGCACTTGTCCTTCAACGGATCACTGTCCACTGGTCCTGTCCCAGATGGTACACTCATCATTGATGGCGGATCTGATCCACCGCAACTCGACGGTGATGCTTCTTGATCCTGACGTCCCAAACGGAGTTGACCTTGGTTGGGGACTCCAATCCCATCTCGAATTTCCTCTTTTGGTAATTCCGCTGCACTTGTAGCTCCCACCAACAACGGATCAGTCTGGTGCTACTTGATCGAGATCTTCCAGTGCCTTCTTGACCGTTACAGCATCCGATATAGAGTCTCCATCTGAGATAGATGACAGATTCACTTGCGACAGACGCTAGATCCAACGGTCCAATCTCTGACGGCGATTTGTCCGACGGCGACCTGTCCGACGGCGACTTGTCCGAAGGTAGGCAGTCAGGAATAGCTTGATTCTGACTCACCTCGACCTTCCGACACTGGATCGACGTCGTCTTCGGTCTCTGGAGTATTGCGCGCGGAATTTCGTACTCGGGTCGCTCCACCGCGGGTGCGAGCGTGATCTTGATCTCCTTATCTTCGGATCAAGTGTCTGTCTTGGCTTCCAATGCTACATTCTGCCACTCCATGTAACGACGAGAGCTGATCGAGATGAATCCTGGTATTCGTGGCACATGGTCTCCAGCCAGTCAGACCCCGATCTGTTGGTCTTGATGTAGGATCCACACCTCTTCCCAGATGTTGGTGATCGATATGTACTTCGTCCTCCCTGATCCGTCGGATATTGTTGGCACCCGTCGATCCCCACGTGCGACCCACAGCTTGCGTGGATCGACGCCCTCAGGCGCAATGGCAGCTCCGCCGACTCTCCAGCTTAGATCCGGAGATATTGGCCGACATTTACGATATTCGCCTTGTCGCTATATAGCTCCCGTCTCCCGCTAGGTTGGATCCGGACTTCATCAGGCAAGGTGATCGATCCATGAGCTAGATCCAGGCGGATCCCGGCTGGGACCATGAAATCCATACCGAGTATAGCTTGTTGGCCCGTCCGATCACCAACCCAGATATCGATGAAATATACCAATGATCCAGCGAGAGTCACCTTGATCCGGGTTCTTCCTTCCGCCCGGTCCACATTACCACCTATTTCCACGCAATCTTGGATCTGACTCAAGTCGATATAGCATCCAACGTTACGAACAGAGGTCGTATCCATGATGGACATCTCGGCGCCGGTATGTAAGAGTAAGATCGCGTTCTCATTGCGGACCCTACCTGTGATCTTGGCTTGACGAACCCATTTACCTGGAGAATGGTGTTTCCAGTAACCACGAGACTCTCCTGGTAGTAGATCCATGGTTGTTGACTGTCGGTATTCCGTGATCTTACTAGGTCTCTTGATCTCCGAAGTAACCTCGTGATTTGTGGGTTTAAACCATAGATCTGGATCTTGGCGCCTCCAATATATTCGCGACCCCCTCGTTGGAGATCCACATTCATTGTGACTTCAGATCTGGCGTACTCGTCGACTTGGCAAAGACTTGAAATTTCGAAGGTATGTCTCCCATGTAGATCACATGTATTACTGTGTAGATCTGGTCGTTTACTAACCTGATCTACCGATGCCTTGTTCACAAATGCATAGATGCAGTATCTAGAGCGCCCGGCGCGTATCGGATTCCACCCGACGAGCGTCCTAGTTTAACATCTTCTCAGCAGCTTCGGGTAACATACCCATATGTTTCGTGGGGTTAAACCACTGGCGGATCTGGTTGTAGAACTCTTCCATCGGATATTTTCCCGTGCCATGCAATTCTCCCCATCCGCAACACACGAAGAGGCAGGGTGTCCTTTCTTGCCACACTTCGTGCATGTAACACGCCTCCAGCAGCCAAGATCCGAGTGCTTCCTGGATCCACATAGCGAGCATTGATCGCGGTTAAACCCATTACCGTGGATCTTCGAGTTGTGATCTCGGTGACCATGATCACGGTCCGGAAGTTGTGGATCCAGGTTCGTCGACTCCTTTTTCATCTTCGGGGTGACGTCTTTGTTCGCTGCAAGAAAGATCCCGCGATGACTGTCGATGTCAGAGTCGGATCCAATCGATCCGTCAGACTCACTGTCGGATCCAGAGTCACTAGCTTGGATCTGGATCGCACGCACTTGCCTCGCTGGAGCGGACGGGGTGGTATTGGTTGGCTTCTGCCGGTACTTGCTGGATCCAAA